TGCTGCTGCTGCTGCAGCAAGGCTCGTGACGAAGGCTGGTGCTGCTGCTGCAGCGGCAGCAGAAGCCACAGCAGCGCAGCCGCAGCAGCGAACAGCCCAGCAGCAGCAGCAGCAGCAGCAGGGATGGCAGGAGGTATTCGTGTGCGGCCTCCTGGCGTCCGCCAGCGCCCTGGCAAGTCCCAAATCCTAAACCCTAAACCCTAAACCCTAGCTCTGAAAGGCCATAGCCGCCGACGGCTTTTCCAAAACCCTAAACCCTCATGCCGCTCGTTGAGGCCATTTTCAACCTCACGCAAAGTTCGGAGCTGCGAAAAGGGTTTAGGGTTTAGGGTTTAGGCTTTAGGGTTTAGGGTTTGGGTTCAGGCTTCTTTAGGATTTGGCCGCATATAGAGTTCCAGCGAATGAACTATCCGACGTGGCCGCCCCCCAGTGCCTCGCCCCTGCATCCTGTCCGTGAGGGTTTAGGGTTTAGGGTTTAGGGTTTAGGGTTTAGGGTTTTGGGTTGGGGTTTAGAGCACAGGATTTGGTACAGGTTATCTGCATTGAGTTCGAACCTTGCGTCTGTTTCCAACTGCTGTAGGTGCGAGGATTTAGAATCTAGGGTTTAGGGTTTAGGGTTTAGGGTTTAGGGTTTTCGTTTGCAGCTGGAGCCCTGGGGTCGGCAAGTGTTTGTCTTTCGGCCTTTCGCCGGCGATTTGGCAGCAGAGCCTTCAGGGCCTTATCCCCGTGTGCCTCCCTTGCGTGGAGTGAGGGTTTAGGGTTTAGGGTTTGGGGTTTAGGGTTTAGGGTTTGGGGCTTAGGGTTTGGGGTTTAGGGTTTAGGGTTTGGGGGGAGGCAGCTTCGCAGGCTCGAGGCCTGGGCGAAACTGCCTAGGGTTTAGGGCTGAGGGTTCGGGATTCGGAGGGTTTGTTTGCGACTTGGGGTTTGCAGAATTAGGGTTTAGGGTTCAGGGTTTAGGGTTTAGGGTTTTACATGCAGCCCGCGCCCCCCACTGACCGGCTGTCGCCTCGGCTGTCGCGTTTGGCAGCAGCAGCAGCAGAAGCAGCAGAAGCT